GCTAAAGGAGTACATCACCACCAACCCAGCATTACAAGAAATGCTAAAGGGATTGCTGTAAGGAGAAGAAGAAACAGAGAGAGAAACCTAGCCATACAGAATTAAAATGGCTACAAATAAGTACCTATCAATAACCCTAAATGTAAATAGATTAAATGTTCCAATCAAAAGGCATGGATAGCTGAATGGATATAAAAACATGACCCAACTATATGCTGTCTACAAGAGACCCACCTCAAAACAAAAGACACACACTGGATGAAAATGAAGGGATGGAAAAAAATTTTCTATGCAAATGGAAAAGAAAAAAAAGCTGGAGTAGCAATACTTATATCCAACAAAATAGACTTTAAAATGAAGGCCATCACAAGAGACAACTAAGGTCACTTCACATAATACTAAAGGGATCGATCCAATAAGAGGATATAACCCTGGTAAACATATATGAACCCAATATAGAAGCATGTAAATATATTAAAAAAACAAAAAACTTCTAGAGGACTTTAAGAGACAGACATAGTAGGAGACTTTAACACCCCGCTGACTTCACTCGATAGATCTTCCAGACAAAAACTTAACAAGGAAACAGTGACTCTAAAGGACACACTGGATCAGATGGATTTAACTGACATTTATAGAACATTTCACCCCAAAGCTGAAGAATATACATTCTTCTCAAGTGCACATAGATCATTCACAAAGATAGACCACATGTTAAGACACAAAACAAGTCTTTACAAGTTTAAGAAAACTGAAATCATATCAAGCATCTTCTCAGATTACAGTGGAATGAAATTAGAAATCAACTACAGTAAAAACACCCAAAAACATTCAAATACATGGAGGCTAGTTATGTGTTTAGAGAAATAAATACTATTTTAAATAAATGGCCAAAAAATTGTGATTTAGTGATCACTCAAATCTAAGAATGATTTTTCGTTTTTAAAACTATTTTAAGCATAAATGTTCACACAGAAAACTAATAAGACTCTAACAGCCTAATAAAATAAAATATAAAGAGCCATCAATTACCTTATATTGTATTGATAACACCTAATAGCAGCGGTTCTCAACCTGTGGGTCGCGACCCCTTTGGGGGGTCGAACGACCCTTTCACAGGGGTCGCCTAAGACCATCGGAAAACACATATTTTCGATGGTCTTAGGAACTGAGACACCGCTCCTCTATCCGTCTCCAGGCGGGTCCGCCCACATACCAGTACCCGGCGTATTAAAGGGTCGCGGCATTAGGAAGGTTGAGAACCACTGCCTGATAGTCTTCATATTTCTAGAATTGTATTCTAAACAATTAAAACAAACAAAATGCATAGCATGCCAACAGGGAGAAGAGCTTTTAAAAGGTAGAAAAATTTACTAGAAAAAGCTACATGCAGAAATATTGCATGCATGAATCATAACCCTAAAATATTAACAAAATGTAACTGAAAACAAGCTAAAATCCAGCAAGTCATTTTTATTTTTCAAAAGCAGATCAGACTAGGGGTATGAAAGATGAAAATGCAGAGCAAAGAGGATTTTTATGAAAATACTCTCTATGATACTATAATAGTGGATATATATTATTAAAATTTGTCCAAACTTAAAATATGCACACCACCAAGAATTAACCTAATGTAAATTATAAACTTTGAGTGATACTGATGTGTCAGTGTAATTCATGAACAGTAAAAATGTGCCACTCCGGTGAGGAATGCTGATAATGAAGGAAATTATTCATGGTTGGGTAGGAGCAAGGGTTATATGGGACATCTCCATACCTACCACTTCAATTTTGCTGTAAATCTAAAAGTACTCTTTAAAAAGTAAAGTCTACTGCCCTGGATGATATGGCTAGGTTGGTTGGGCCATCCCATGCACCAAAAAGTGGACCATTTGATTCCCAGGCAGGGCACATGCCTGGGTTGCAGACTTGATCCCTGGTAGGGAGCAGCAGGACACAGCAAATCAATGTCTTGCTCTCACAAAGATGTTTCTCTCTCTCTCTCTCCCCCTCTCCCTTGCTCGTTCTCTCTCTAAAAATCAATAAAAAATATATTTTTTAAAGTAAAGTCTATTAAAGGGGGGAAGCAGATCAGAAAAGTTATAACCCTTTGCTAAACAAAGGAGACTACTTTTTTAAAGTATATACAACACTTATAATTAGCAGTTTTAAATAGACTGAAAACTATATAATAAAGCTCACATGATACTTTAGCCCTGGATTTATATTTGAAACACTTTTCTTTCAGCATTTTTAAGTCTTATCATCTAACACCCTTAGACAGCTTGTTTAAATAAATTATATTCAATGCCCCTTCTGTTCATATAAATGGTGCCTTCTAGACACAAATTATCCATCCTCCTCAAAAGTCTATTAAGGTTCTACTATACATAGTACACTTAGAAAATATAAAAAGTTCCTTACACTCCAGATGCCTTCTTCTGAGGTCTTACAATCCAGCCCTGGCAAAAGAACAAGATGTCCCCAGTAGGATACCCCAAGCACTCAAGTGGTACAGATCGTCAGCCGGTCTGTCCTAGTCTCCTGGGAATGCTTTTCTCCTGGCTGAATCCTTCCCATCTTTCAACTTTCAATATAAATGCTATCTCCTCAGAAATCTTTCCTGACACCACCCCCCCTTCTATTTTTATCATAGCAACCTATTCCTTTTCTTCATTGCTGGGTGTTTTTTCAAAACTGTAATTATGTATTTGGTTTCTTGTTTACTATCTGTATCCAATACCAGACTGAACACTCCATGTGGACACTGACTCCACTGTATCACCAGTGATCAGCAGAGCACTCAATAAACAATGGTTAAAGGAATGCACAGGTCCGGTACCCAGGAGAAGGGTATGGGCTAGAGCAGTGGTCAGCAAACTGCGGCTCGCGAGCCACATGCGGCTCTTTGGCCCCTTGAGTGTGGATCTTCCACAAAATACCTTGGTGCGGGCGCGCATGTACAGTGTGATTGAAACTTCGTG